CAGTTCGCTCCAGTGATACGCAAGAACTTTGGCACAAGCGGTTGAGCCATGCATCATCCGAAGCACTTTCTCTGATTCCTTTTTCTAGTAGCATTCGATTTGGCAATGTAAACAATAAGGCATGCGATATTTGTTATCGTGCCAAACAAAATCGATCCTCGTTTCCCATTAGTGATCGAAAGAGTAATAAAATTTTTGATCTTCTTCATTGTGATACATGGGGTCCTTACCGCACTTCCTCTTTCTCTGGTGCTTATTATTTTTTAACGATAGTCGATGACTTCAGTCGTGCTGTTTGGGTTTGTTTGATGGGTGACAAAAGTGAAACTTTTGGTGTGTTACGAAAATTTCTTTTAATGGTGCAAAATCAGTTTAATACAACAGTTAAGAGTATTAGATCAGATAATGGAACTGAATTTACTTCCAACAAGATGATTGAATTATTCACTGCCAATGGTATATTTCATCAGAAATCCTGTGTTCATACGCCGCAACAGAACGGTCGGGTAGAACGGAAGCATAGGCATATTCTAAATGTGTCTCGTGCTCTTTTGTTTCAAGCAAACTTGCCAATCAAATTATGGGGAGAGAGTGTGATGACAGCAGCTCATATTATTAATAGAACTCCCACAAAGCTTCCCAATGGCAAAACTCCTTATGAGCTTTTGCATGGATCTGTTGCTGATTACAGTCACTTAAGGATATTTGGCTGCCTATGTTATGCGGTGACACAACCAAAACCTACAAACAAATTTAGTTCACGGTCTAGGCGGTGTATGTTTGTTGGTTATCCTCATGGGCAGAAAGGTTGGAGAGTCTATGATCTTAATACTAAGGAATTCTTTGTGTCACGAGATGTCAGTTTCCACGAAGATGAGTTTCCTTTTGTTGCTATAAGTGTGCCTACACCTAGCCCATCATTACCTACATTTATACCAATAGATTCTAATGATTCTGCCAATCCAGTATCTCAATCAACTTCAAATGATTGTGAGGCAGAAGTGCAGTTGGAAGATAGGGGGAGTGTCCATCAGTCTGAAAGGGAGCCGAATGAAGATTCTACATCAAATGCTGATCAAGTGCAAAGGAGTGAGGATCCAGCTCCTGCTCTCGTACAAAGGAATGAAGATTCAGCTCACGAACTTGTGCAAAGAAGTGCAGAATCAGCTCAAAACGATTCTCTTCGTCCAGCACGCACACGAAGGCCTCCGTCCTATTTGAGTAACTACAAATGTAATCTGATTGAGGCATATACATACACTCCCAGTCTCACCTCTTCTAGCTCCACCTCAGGTATACGGTATCCAATTGCCAACTATGTGAATACTAACAATTTTTCTTCAAAACATCGAGTTTTTGTTGCTGCTATTGATGCAGGTAGTGAACCTCGGTCATTTAAAGAAGCAATGACCAATGATGTTTGGCGTAAAGCTATGGCTCAGGAGATACATGCACTAGAAGAAAATAATACGTGGACTATCACTGATTTACCTGCAGGCAAACATGCCCTTCCATGTAAATGGGTATATAAAATTAAATATCATTCCAATGGTAGCATCGAGCGCTACAAAGCAAGGTTGGTAATTGCAGGTAATCATCAAGTTCCAGGAGAAGATTTCCATGAAACTTACGCCCCTGTAGCGAAAATGGTGAGTGTTAGAACTCTACTCTCGGTTGCAGCTGCAAAAGGTTGGTACTTGCACCAAATGGATGTTCATAATGCGTTTCTTAATGGAGAACTGGACGAAGAAGTGTATATGCGCATACCGGCAGGCTTTAATCAAGGACAAGGAAGAAAAGTGTGTCGTTTGCAAAGGTCGTTATATGGCTTACGACAATCTCCCAGGAATTGGTTTGCAAAGTTGAGTTCCTCACTTATTAAATACGGTTTTGTTCAATCCGAAGCAGATCACACTTTGTTCACTTTGAAGCGTGGTTCTACCTTCTTGACCATACTAGTCTATGTTGATGATTTGGTGTTGGCAGACAATGATTCCCAAGCATGTCAAGAGGTTAAGATTTATCTTAACAAGTGTTTTAAAATTAAAGATTTGGGTCACTTGAAATATTTTTTGGGCATCGAGGTTGCCCTTAGCAATGAGGGTATCTTCTTGTGCCAACGAAAATATGCATTAGATATCCTCAAAGAAACAGGTTTGTTGGATTGTAAACCGGTTCAGTTTCCAATTGAATAGAATCATCGCTTAGCTCTGGCAGATGGACCTGACTATGATGATCCAGGTCGCTATAGAAGAATTGTCGGCAAGCTAGTGTACCTTACGATCACTCGTCCTGATTTGAGTTATGTAGTGCACACTCTTTCACAGTTCATGCAAGCTCCAAAGGAAGCACATTATGAGGCTGCCATTCGGGTACTAAGATACATCAAAATGAATCCTGGCCAAGGTATCCTTCTTTCTTCCAAAAGTGATCTCAAAATTCATGCTTTCTGTGATTCAAATTGGGCCAGCTGCCCTTTAACTCGCCGGTCAGTTTCTGGGTTCTTCATTATGCTTGGAACCTCACCTGTTTCTTGGAAAACAAAGAAGCAACTCACTGTCTCACGCTCCTCAGCAGAGGCTGAGTACCGCTCCATGGCTGCCGCGACAGCAGAATTGATATGGTTGAAGTCTTTTCTTGCTTCACTTGATGTTATCCATGATGATCCTATGGAATTATGTTGTGATAATCAAGCTGCTATACATATCGCGGCAAATCCTGTGTTCCATGAGCGAACTAAACACATTGAAATTGATTGCCATTTTGTCCGGGAAAGGTTGGTTTCTAAGACGATTCGAACTACTTTTGTTCGTTCTCATTTGCAACTCGCAGACATTTTCACCAAAGCACTTGGTCGTGTTCCATTTCTTGCCGTTCTTTCCAAGTTAGGCATTTCATGTCTTCATGCTCCAACTTGAGGGGGAGTGTTGGAATAGAAGATTCTATATGTTGTTATGATTTGCTGTGATATGTTGTAACCTGTAGTTTGTTAGGATATGTATAACTGAGTCTTATTGTAATTAGGTGTAGTTACTTATCTTTAGGAAGTTGTTTTACTATTTGGTAACAGACTGTTTGGTAACAGCCTATTCTATTTAAGATACATTGATGTACAGTTTTAAATCAATGAAAATACTATCAATTGATACCATTTATCACAATGTATTTTATTATACATGTAATTCTAATCGGTCATCATTCTCCTCTCTGCCCCACCATGCGATTCGTGTTTAGAAAGCAAACACAACGATAGGATCCGTACTCCTTGGCCCACCACAGACCTGCATGGAGTTGTGCAGAACTTGTTTGATTAGGTCAAATGTCGAAAGTTGGCAAATATAGGGGTCATATTTTGAATAATATAGCTATGATCATTTGCTACAATTTAATTGTGGCAATATTTGTTCAAAATATATTCCTTAGACTTGCTAGCATCCCAATCAAGCACATCCCCACAATATCCATGTGGGACTAGTCATCCACCTTGCTCAGTTATTATATTACTTTTATAATATATTTCAAAATTGCATTATTTTGACTTTTTTTTTTAAAAAAAAAACGCATCAGATGGGTTGATCTACCTTTTTGCATATATAGCGAAGAAAGAACAGTTTTTTTTTTTTTGGATATCAAGAACAGTTTTTTTAACCTATTGTGAAACTTGTAATGAGTACAACAAACGTACTGGTCCCATGAAATCAAATTCTGTTACATATACGTTTCTTTTATTTTTTATTTTTTCAAAAGTAAATTCAAAAAATTGTCAAAAATAAGTTTTAGTAGATTAATAAAATATGAAATAAATTATAAAATGCAATAGAATAATGAAAATAAATTATTTCAACAAATTATATGGGTTGCTCTACACTTTATGTTTTTTTGGTACTTCCTCTTATTGTAATTTTACAAAAAAAAAAATTCAAATTATATATTTCAACTTGAAGCTAATATGTTGTTTCTTGTTCAGACATGCAAAGCAAAACCAAAGTGTAATCATTTATTTAACTTTGTTCATTTAAAATCCTACGCTAATATAACTTAGTCCACTTAGCTTATAAAACAATCTGGACAATCTGAAACAGTTAAATTCAACTCACTATGACAGTATGACTTATGAACTGAGCAAGTGATTTTGTATTAATAAGTCATACATAGGAGCGGATCTAAATTAATTTAATTGTGGTGGTAAAAAAGAAAGAACATCATCGATGAATGATTAAATTTTTTAAAAAAAAATATCAACTTCTTTCCAAAAAAAAAAAAAAAAACATAAAAATCATTAAACCCAAATTTATACGACATGACTTTCGTCAACCACATAATAATTAAGTTGCATGTTTGTTTTATTTATTTTTTACGGAAAAATAATATTTATCTTATTACAATCTCTTTTAAGAAACTGCCAAATGGGAAAAAAAAAAATCTCTCTAAATAAGCTAATTTAAACACGCATATATTTTTAACCTTTTAGAGGAGCAATTAAATGAAACGAATGTTTAGACACTAATCCCAACTGTTGTAAAGTTGCATTGGATTGTATAGAGAACATAGCTAAAAGTTTGGAGTTTGAGGATTTTTAAGAAGGGAAAAGTGGTTTACGTATAAAAAAAGGAAAAAATATTTGTGATTTTATAAGACACAATTTTATATTCTTTTAAGTGAAATGATGAGTTTTTGTATATTTGTTAATTTTTTATATTTTCTCTCATTTACAATACTCTCTTTTTCTCTCAAGGTCAATAAATATATATGATTCCTTCATTTAAAATGATATAAAATTATATACTTTAAAATGACAAATATTTTTCCTACCAACAAAACCCACCATAAAATTTGATTAAAATGATAATAGTTTGAGGCAAATTAAGCATTCAACTTTTTAACAAAATGTTCAAGTAGCTACTTTTCTGATCACATACCACAACAGTTAAACAAACAAACTTCCAAGTAACACAACAACCATTTCCTAATATCCTAATTACTGAGCCATATCATCCCTGTTAAAAGTTAAGTGCTGCAACACCACCTCCTGTTTGGTGTCTCGCGGCAAGGATCTCGTCACCATTTTTCATATTGAGCTGAAATCAAGTTACATTAATTAATACAAAAAACAGAACTATAAGTTAGTTGAATAAAAAAAAAAGGAACTATAAGTAAAAGATCTAAATATTGAACAGCAGCCATTGAAATAAAATTAAAAAATAGAGATTGACATAAAAAAAACCCCAAAAACCTTTGTGTGGCAAGTTACGAAAAATAAAGAAAGAAACTAACCTTTTTTGGTGTATGACGTTTCCCATTAACATAAGAACCTTCATATAAAAAATTCATGGTCTCAAATTCCAAGTTCAATCGGTGACAGTAATCTCTGAATACCCTAATTAACTTGCTGTCTTGATTCACCTTGAAGAACAACTGACGCCCATCCTACAGTTGAATGAAGACAAACAGAATTGTAAACAATAGGTGAAGAAAAATGTGAGAACTAAAATTTTGTAAGGCATTATTGATATTCTAAGGTATAACACTACTATTAAATCCAAACAAGCCTAAGACATCTTAAATTCTGATAGATTGCACAAAACTCAAGGCAGAACAATTGATAAATGCAGGAAAATAGTATATAATATAATAAGTAATGCCAATATAAAAAAAACAACCCAAGTATATCATAAATAAATAAAGAGAAATATTTTTCTCAAGTTACATCAATTTTTTTATCTCATGTCACAGACACATCGCAATTCGAGTCAGCATTTCTTTTTCTTTTCTTTTAACCATGGGACCCACCCAATTATGTCTCTACATGAGATAATACTATCTCATGTAGCATGAGAAAAGCATTGCCCATAAATAAAGTATGGGTAATGTTTTTCTTATGTCATTGGAGAGAGCTTACCTCATGCCATAGACCCTTCGAAATTTGAGCCATCAATTTTTATTTTTTTTTTCTTTTTGTTATAGTATAGGACCCACTTGAAGATGTCTCTATAGGAGATAGTCTCGTCTCCAATGACATAAGAAAAAGCAATCCCATAAAGTATACATTTAAAGGTTTTACATTCTAGAATAACCATTTGCAGGCTTCATTTAATTATCACTATAGAGTATAGACTCAAGATTAAACGAACAATAGATTATCAAAAAAAAAAACAGAAGAAGAAAAAAAGCAACAAAGAAAGGATTATCAAGAAAAATAGATCATTGGAAAAAGAGCCATAAATACCTGACCCCTGATTGAGAAAGCGACATAGATAATATCAGCAGCCACTTCATCTGGGTTCTTTCTCTTGCCAACTCTGCCATTGGAAGCCATGGTAATCTGCACACATTATCAGAGAGTTGTAAGATCTAACCACCCAGATGGGAAAAAAAAAACAAACTTTTTTATTATAACTTTAAGGAACAAAAACAAAAACAAAAAACTAAGGTCCCATTATCATGTAGCATTTGAAAATTGCAAAAAAACTTTTGAGTCTCTGCATCTGGTGGCATAACCAGCAAAACAATGACAAAAGAAAAAGAAAAATAACCATTTTTCTGTCAACAAAGTGAAACAAAAAACAAAAACTCCAAAACCACACCATGTTGAAGATGGGTAAAGAAAGATGGAGGGAAAAAAGAAAACACGAACCAAAAGAGAAGAACAGAAAAAGACCAAGAGCTTTCTGGTGTCGTGTGTTGAAAATAAGTTGAAAGCATTGATATGCTTGTGCTTGTTGTAGTGTTTGTTTGAGCAAGGAGCAGTTGTCAGTTTCTAAAAGAGGTTAATGACAGAGAAAAAGTCTTTATTAGTTGATTTCAGTTTCCATTTTCAACTTAAAGTCTAATATACACTGCTATATCGAAATAGAGAGCATTTTCAAGTCCGCCTCGTGATTGTGACACCCATGTTAACATGGGATATGTTAGGTGTCCGTGTCCCTGCTCCGGGGATGTACTTGTTATAGTTTTTGTTTGTATTATATTTACCTCACGTTACAAGTTACTCGATTTATAAAATAACTATAAATAGAATTAAAAAATTCTAACCGCAGTCATTCATGGACTCATTCTGCCGACCCCGATGACTAAGGTCCTCATCAACATGTGAAGTATGAGTCATACCCAACAATTGTGTACCCTGATAACATGGGATATGTTAGGTATATCACTACTCATGGGATGTGCATATAAGCTGTAATTTTAAAATTCCTCCAAAAAAAAAGAAATATAGAGCATTTTTTTATGCTTTGTGATCATCATTGATATGGTGGTCCTTTTTTGAAAATGTGAAAGGCAGAAAGGAAAAGAGTAAATAGCAAAGATAAAAAGGAGAAAAAAAATTGATCTTGTGAGAATGACGACCCAGTTTTGGAAATTCCTGTACCTTAAAAAATATTTCCTATGGAAATAATGTTGATGTCAGAAGCTATGTTAAGTAATACAGTCTCCACATTTGAAAATCTGTCTAGGAGGGAATCAATTCCTTTGTGATATAGCATTATGATAGTTGTTAAGTCACTGTTATCGATTCCGAATGTAGTTACTGATATTAATATTAATGTATAATTAGTTAGAAGCTCTATCTTGCACTTTGAAAATGAAAGCCTTTGATATTGTTCACAAACCACTAACAAAATATTACATGTACGTAGGCAAGAGAAACAAAACACTATTATTAGTATGCAAAAGCATTGTATATGAAATTATATAAAAAAAAAAATTATAATCATTTAGTTTTTCCAAACTCTGAAATAAACTTAATTACTATTCTATCCTAGGGATAGAAATGTTTAGTCAAAACTAGTATGTTGATCTTTGACTAATATGTATTTGAAAACTGGCGTGAAAATGCTGCCTCGAAGAGAACCAATTCCCTTTCTGATATAGCATTATGATAGTTGTTAAGTCACTGTTATCAATTCCGAATGTAGTTATTGAATTTAACCTATAGTTAATTACAAGCTGTATATTGCATTTTGAAAATAAAAGCCATTGATATTTTTCACAAACCTTTACAAAATATTACACGTACGATGGCAAGAGAAACAAAACACTATTATTAGTACGCAAAAGCATTGTATAAGAATTTATAAAATAAAAATTATAATAATATAATTTTACCAAACTCTGAAATTAACTTAATTATGAAAAAAAAATGTGAGTTTGCTTCAACCCATGGTTTACGAGTAAAGTTGGTTAATAGCCCCAGCCTACAATGTTTTAATAATAAACAGTTCGATTGAGTTGACTCACGTTTTATACTTGTTATAAAAAATGCCAATTCATACTGGACTCCTATTTACTTGTCAACCCATTTTATTTATTTTTTAAAACACATTTACTAATTTTTTTAAGGGTGTGGTGTTTGTCATTTTAAATGACAAATACTTTTCCTTTTTTTAATATAAATTATAAAGGATTTTACACACTATTCGGTCATTCAAGAAATTGAATTTATTTGGATTTGAATTGTTGTTATTATTATTGAGCATGCTACTAGAAAAGTTAATATAAGGGATGTAATGTTTTTTTACCGCATAACATCAGTAAAAAATATTAGTATTTTTAAAAATACCTGAGAATCAAAAGAATCGAATGAGTTATTTTTTCGTTATCTACTAGTATTTTTTTAAACTTTTTATGCCTTAAAATTCATTTATAAAAAATTAAAATAGATTAGTGTTTGTCCTTTTAAAGAATATAAAATTAAGAGAAATTTATGCTTATTATTATTTTAGCCTCACTACTCTTACTACCTGATAGATTACCGATAGATCAATTTGAAATCAACATTTTAAATTAATCCAATGATAAATTAACATTTTAAATTTATCCAATAATAACCAAGAATAGTGAGGTTAAAATAGTAGTAAATATAACCGCTTTCATATAATTATGTTATTTAATATTTTAGCCAAAATTACTGTATTTTATGACGAGAGAAACAAAAATCAAAATGAAAAAAAGGGAATCTTTTTTTAAATTTAAATATTAAATTAAAAATATTAATTTTAACTAAAATTATTATCCAAGACATATTTTTCCCAAAAAGTAAACCATTTCAATTCGTCGAACTGAAGCACTAAACTCGATTCGGTTTCTAATTAAACTACTAAAATCGATTCAGTTCGGCGTAAAAAACCGAATTAAACCATACCAACCCATAATTCCAAATTATGTGCGAGAGGCAATGGATAATTATAATCCATCATCATTCTCCTATGCCCCACCATCTGTGTTTAGAAATGTCAGCAATCGCATTGCGACGTGACGATGAAAGAAATTAAAAATTTAAAAACAATAAAATCATTATCAAGGTTTATTTGAAAAAAGTTGAAAAAATCCTTTTATTTCAGAAAATTGGTTTTTGAAATAGAAAATGAATTTCAGACTAGATTACGAGTAAGGAAGGTGTTAGTACTCTACACTATCCGTTTAAAAAATGATTACCTTAAATTTATTGTGCAAATTATTGATAAGATTTTAAATATTTATTTCACCACAAAGAATTAAACAAAAATAATTAAAGAAAAGAAAACTAATTTTTGAAAAATTTATTTTTGCGCTTGACACGGAGAGTCCCGCTCTGACGTATCCCTCGATACAATAGGGAACTCAAAACTACGTCGTTATGTAAAAAATATTTATATGTTGATTGATTTTAATTTTTGAAATAATTCATTTTAAAGAAAATCATTGGAAAGTTTTGGCTTTTATGATTTACATTTATTTCAATAATTCTTATTTTTATTATTGTAAGTTTTACAGTAAATTTTGAATCACCAAGTCGTCACGGCTAAAATGATTCAAAAGACTATGAGATTAACAAGTTGTCTCAACTCAGCTAATCCTTTTAAAATAATTTTATGTTATTATTGTAAATTTTATGGTAAATTTAAATGAATTTAGAATCACTAAGCCATTACAACGACTAAAATGAGCCAAAAAAAAATACACAAGATTAACAAGCCGTCACGGTTAAATTACCCCTTTGTTAAAACTCTTAATATTTTGAGTTTTATTATCAAAGATTTTAGATAAATTTAGAATCATCAAGTCGCTAAAATAAACCAAAAAGTTATAAGATTAATAAAGTGTCATGTTTAAATTAATCCCCATAATTAATAGAAAACTAAACTTCTTTATTCTTTATTATTTATTTTTTAAAATTAACCCTTATTATCATTATTATTATTATTGTTGTTGTTGTTTCACTTCTATACATTAAACCAGTGTACTCTTTAAGAATAGAATTATATATCATGCTTTCTCTAAAGCGGTCCAATAAAAAAGGTACAAGGCCATAAAAATAAAATACATGCTGGAAATGAAATAATAATAATAATAATAATAATAAAAATTATTCATAAATAAATAAAAACCCCATTATTTTAATCTTTCACTTTCATTGTTCAGCAACTTCACATTAATGCAAACAAAGAACAAAGCTGTGCATGGTTGCGTGTAAGATTAGATATACGTACTCTTCCTTTTGATTTCATCATATTTTTGCAAATAAACAATGTGTTTATTAATTCTCATGTTGAAGGAGAATTGAAATCTTATGTTATAGAGATAAAAAGTATGTGGAATCTATGTGTTAAAAAAAATTACATGTAAAACCCATGTCAGCACAGAAATCGAATAGTGTGTAAAAAAATTATAATTATGTAGTTAAATAAAAATTATAAAATCCATAAAAATACTAAGCTAGGTGTAGATGGTAAACTCCAATAAAAAAAGAAAGTAGCATACGGGCCCACATATTTATCAAAGTTAAACCAAGTTCCAAATTCAAAGCCACGTAATGGTTAAAATGGCATCTTCCTATCTCCACCTAATAACACATACTATAGCTATCAAAATAATAAAAAGGTCAAATAGAAAAAAAAATAAAAATAAAATACTATAATAATAAAGTTAAAGCATAATGGAAATGAACAAGATTTTTTGGAGCGTTTAGTAGAGAAGAATTTTTTTTTTATTCGAGAATTTCAATTTTTAAAAATATAATTTTTACATTCAATTTATAATAATATTCAAAAATTAAAAAGTTAAAAAAAATCAGTTTCTCAGAAATTCTGAAAAATATCGCATACCAAACACCCCGCACGAAAAGCTCAGATGTGTTGGAGTGGAGATTCTGGCGTGGTGGTAGACAGCGGTGTAGCTCTAGCGACGGAGTCATTTTAAATGACGTATCCCAGAAATCCTGAATATTACTTGTTGCTTTTTCTTTTTGAGTAAAGAAAAAAAATTTATTAAATGAAATCAGAAATAAAAGAACGGACACATATTTAGTGCTTACAACAAAGAAAACACAACAATAGGATCTGTACTCGTCCGCCCACCACAGACCTGCGTGAAGTTGTGCAGAACTTGTTTGATTAGGTCACATGTTAGCTAGAACATGTTACGATTTAGTCGTCACTAGTATTTGTTCAAAATATAATCCTCCAATTCAGCTCATCCGGCACAATATCCATGTGGGCCTGGTCATCTATCTTGCCCAATTATTATATTACTTTCATAATATATTTCAAAATTACATTATTCCAATATTTTTTTATAAAAAATGCACATCAGATGGGTTGATCACCTTTTTGCATATATAGTAAAGAAAGGAGCAGTTTTTTTTCAACCTATTGTGAAACTTGTAACGAGTACAAACAAACGTACAGGTCCCATGAAATCAAATTCTATTACATATACGTTTCTTTTTTTTTTTTATTATTATTTTTTCAAAAGTTAGTTAAAAAAATTGGGAAAAATATTAGTTTTTTTAGTTTTACTTTTTTTTCCTTAAAAAAGGAAAATTCAATCCCGCACTAAGGCAAAATTTTAAAAACTTCTTACATCTCCTTTTCTCTAAGAGGGATCTTCACCGTTGATCTCTCCCTCACTCTTTTTGTCTTTTTCACCCTTTTCATCTTTAAAACAAAAGGTTGAGATCTCCTGGAGTAAACTCAGCAAAACGTGAAAGTTTCTCCAAAAATTGTCTCATACATGATATCCCTGCAGGAATATTTCTGACATTTTTGTCCTTCACAAAGAACAATATTTTCTACAGTAAGAGTAAACTTTTGAAGAAGGCAGTGGTGAAGCTTATGCTTTGTGATTGAAAAGTTACGGATTCAAATTCAGAAAACAGCTTGTTTGTAATTATACAATGATAAAAGTGTATACAAGAATTTTCTCACTCTACTCTCATCAGTGGGGGTTTAATAAGGAGTGATTTTTCACTGACCCTGATTAGTTTGGAATAAAAGTAATATTGATGTTCATATTGAAGACTAAACTTTTGAAAAGAATACCAAATCTATTATAAAAGTATGCCTCATCAGCCTCAATTTTGATAACAATGCTACATTGGAAGGTGCCCCAAAAAAATTTGCACCCGTGCAAGGAATTAAAAAAAAAAAATCAATTTACAGAAAAGATACAGGTGAGACAAAAATACTAGATCAAGTTGTCTATAAAAGCTGAAGACTGGATAGTCCTTAAAAGCTCCCTCAAATTAGCCAATACATGGCGTGGTCCCAAACTCTTGACACCAATGAAATTCAAAAGCTGTTCTAAATCCTACAATCAGAAAAGCACGAGGGAAAGGAGCAGTAAGTCAAGGTTAATTAGAACGGATATTTATACACAGTAGTATAGCTGTATAGACATGAAATCCCGCTCAGTCAAAGAGTAGGAAGCTGCAAACACATGCTGCATATTTGAGATAACACAAGCAAAATGCTTAATCAATCTACTTGACAACATCAATGCAAAACGCTTTCAATATGAATGTCAATCTTGCTATTCAATAATTTTACTATTATTAATGTGTGTGTGTGTGTGTATAAATTTTCTTAGAATTCAAGCATCTCATGTAGGCATAGAAAACGGAACTTTTAATCTTTCGTACATGAAATGAAACGAACAAAGGGTTAGGAGAATAAAAAACAGAAGAAAAGTTAACTCTGGTGGAGGAACCCTCCACACTGCCAGTTAGCTAACATACAGTAGGCTTCCTTCTCCTAGTTAACATGGAGGTCTGCCAATTCAGTCTCTGTTCATTACACAGAAAAACAAGAGCAAGGCCAAAATAAGCTCTTAATCAACCAACGTTTTGGATTGCAGAACAAAGTCTAGAAAATGCATGCAATCTTTTGCAAAAAAAAAAAAAAAAAACTATTTCACTATTTCAGTGAAACTGATGTGAACAAAGCCACTAACCTTGGAGAACACACATATCAAAATCAGATCATACAAATACAGGAAGGTATGAAAGTCACCAGTGAATACCAAAAGTCCACAACCCAAACAAATAAATTAAACAATGACAAAGGGGCAGAACTGTCAGTGAACAGATGCACTTAATTGGATCCCCAGGAATTCTGAAGGAAACAATAAGCGGGAGACTTTCCCTGTTAAGTTTTGACATAGTTCAAACAAAGCACTCAAATTTAAATTGCTAGAGAGCAAATATTAAATGAAAATACATACCTTATTTAGCAAGAATATAGCATAAGCTGCTCTTGTTGTGTCTTGACCTTCTAAAAAAAGGGGGAATTCCACATGCTTGGCATTTGTGGAAGATAATGCACTTGATGAAGCTTCAGAAGATGTCAGCACTACTGAAGGTGCATTGTCAATAATATATGAATGAGAGGCGCCCAACCGTATAGGATATCGCAGTGGAACTTGCAAGTATGAGGCTATAAGAGAAACAGCCTGCAAGAAAATCAGTCTAGTAAAATAAAGTTCAACAATTATTAGGTCAACAGTCATCCACGTGTGCTAATAAGAAATACAACACTTGGAAAAACAAAAGTCTGATATATAAAAACACAAGATAAAAAATAAAGTATCAGCACATCAGTTCTGAGGCAAAAAAGGGCCAGGTTAGCACAAAAGCTTACATGTGCAACATATCCTAGGGCAGTAGCAGACCTCTGAATTTCCTTTTTATCAGTGAAAACACTCATCTTCCTAAAAGATAGCATGGTCAAATGCAGACTGTGAATTGTCAAGGATCCTTGATTAACCGGTTTAAGACCTGCAGAAGTTCCTGGGTAATGAAATAAAGGCAACTTTTAACAGTAAAATTCAGAGAAAGAGTTACTTATAAATGCAGTGGATATTATAAAAAAAATTGTGATAATTTAAATTAGCACAAGAGATACTAGACTTAACATTCAAAGAATTGCTATGGACTTCTAATACATCCATGCAATGTTGTAAAACATCCAACTAAAGTCTCTTACCTTAAGAAGAAAAGTAATAAAAAATAAAAATATTATTAATTGATTGGATGAATGAATGTACCAAGGGTTTGCGATTCTGTCAGATGTCTTTCGATTAGAAGGTTACAAATTCAGTATGAGATTTTAAAGCAAGAATAGAATAATAAAATGCCATCATGACAGAGCTCCAAAAGACCTAAATATTCACACTATTCCATAACATCTCCATGTAGAGGGCAACAATGATGACGTCCACAAGTTATAACACTGCTTAAAGAAGACTGCCTTTTGTTCTATGAAAAAGCAAAGAAGAAAGTACCAGATAAGCATCTGCTACTAATCAAGCAGATGCTTTTGTAATTTCTTTCATTTGTCAATAAAAGATAAATTATACATTAAGGAAGTTTTCATGAAACAAAGACTATGGAGAAGCATAAAAAATTTAAAAAAGACGTGAGTGAGGCACACCAGATAGATGAAGTACAGAATGCCAGACACCCTTTTCAACACAAATATACTCTTTTACCGGATGGTTCAGTTATTTAAATTGCAAGCTTCTTCTTTTATATAAGCTCAGTCATTTCTTATCTTAGGAGTCCAATCCACATAGAAAAAGACTATCATTGAGCTATTACCTGCTGGGCTACCTAAAGGATATGCTTCAAGCTCTTGCTCTTGTGCTGGTCCAACCGAGATCTTTACAGGATATAGCATTGAAATTTGAGATGTCATATATTGTTGCCTCATCCTTAGCATCTTCTGCAAGTTTGTCAGCCGAACATAACCATTTTCTTCAGACAGTAATCCTCTCGATTCCTATAATAACAGCATCATTAGCTTTCTAAAATAACAGCAGTAAAATATGACACTATTCCTTTCCCCAAAAGTGAAATAATGGGTGGACAAAGAAATAATGATAACTTGCTAAGATTCAGCAAAATAAATTCCTCAGATGCTATTTCTAACAGGGAACGACATGGAAAAGAAAGGCTTTTTAAAAAATGAGGGCATTTGAAAAAAAACAATGAGGTAATTTCTTAAGCACGGGTGCAAGAGAAACTGAGAAAAGTATACTCTGAATATAAACTCAAAAAAGCAAAAGGGAACAATATTCTGAATGTCAATTGGTAAAACATATATACTGCAATATCAATAAAATGAATCAAATTTTTGAATCAAGAAATCAAAGCATTTCCCTTAGAACTCAAAGCACAAGACACCAATATCACCATGGGTTTAGGCATTAAAAAACTTCCCCCAAACATATTATCACCATGCTAAAAGTACACGTCTGCAGTAGACGAGGGATAAATCACCTTGCAGCAAACACTTTATGCCTTTGAGAGTTCAGACTATGCATAGCATGGGATCTAAGGCTTTACACCTTATAAATTATAAAAAATATGATGAACGTATTATTAGTTATGAGATATAATACAACCAAAGAATGTATAATGACATCCAAGCTATCAATATAAGCAACAACCATTTATTTTTCTTATGATACTAATTTATAGATTGATACTTAGGAAAAGGAAGAAGGAGAATAAGAAGAAAAAACTATTATCGCAAAGCCAAAGACCCACATAGAGGCTGAGATCACTGTTCTTGCAAAGCAGAGAAATTTAAAACTTACATAAAAGATAAAGAAGTGAGAGAAAAATAAAAAATAAATAAATTAATTGATCCCTTCATCAACCCCCCCACCCCTCCGCGGAAAAATAAGAGGACCTATTATTCAATACTGCCAAAGATCAGTTAAGATGCAAACTAAGAACAGCAGAAAAATGAAGTCTGTAGAAAAAGTATCCACATTTAACTAAAACAGGAACTGATCCCTGAACTTCAGGCATTATATTCAATTAAACAAATCATATAATAAAAATGCTGCATATAACTAGACAATAATACCCACTCTTATTCTTGAAACACCTAGACCACCATCAACCCAACATCCATCAAGAAACCATGCAAAACTGCAACATATTTTCCAATAACACGGAGATGTAGCAATAGATTATTGAAAAGAAGTTTTTGTATATTGATATTGAATAAATTACATGAGTGAGTATTTATACAAGAAAGAATCGCTAAGAATGACTAAGCGATGACTAATCAATCCTATCACAATCCTAATCACAATCAATTCTAATCAATCACAATTAATCCTAATCAATCATAATCAATCCTAATCAATCATAATCAATCCTAATTAATAGGAAATAAAAACGGAAACATGTTTGAATTCTAATTTTCTACACTCCCCCTCAAGTTGGGAGGTAAATATTGATCATTCCCAACTTGCCAATCAAGTCTTCGAATGCTGGACGGTGTAGGCCCTTGGTAAGGACATCTGCCGTTTGCTCTTTGGTTGGAACATATATCAAATGCACACTTCCATCATCTAATTTTTCTTTGATGAAGTGACGATCAACTTCCACGTGCTTTGTTCGATCATGATGCACAGGATTTTGAGCAATGCTAACAGCTGCCTTGTTGTCACAATATAGTTTTATTGGTAGGGAATATGAAATCTTCAACTCTTGAAGAAGTCTTCTCAACCAGATTCCTTCACAAACTCCATGAGCTAAAGCTCGAAATTCTGCTTCAGCACTACTTCTTGCAACCACTGTTTGCTTTTTGCTTCTCCAAGTAACAAGATTTCCCCACACATAGGTGCAATAGCCTGAGGTAGATCTTCTGTCTACTGATGAGCCTGCCCAATCTGCATCAGTGTAGATTTCAATTGTCCTTTTATACCCCTTTTTAAAGAATAATCCTCTTCCTGGAGTATTCTTGAGGTATCTAAGCACCCTATAGACTGCACTAAGATGCTTCTCCTTGGGTGAGTGCATGAATTGACTAATCATACTCACCGCAAAGGCAATGTCAGGACGCGTATGAGATAAGTAGATTAGTTTACCAACCAATCGCTGATATTGTTCTTTATCCACCTCATTCCCATCTTCAATACCTAACTTGGTATTAGGTTCCACAGGTGTCTCAGCAGGTTTACACCCTAACATTCCTGTTTCCAACAAAAGATCTAGAACATATTTCTTTTGTGTTAGAGTGATGCCTGTTTTGCTCCTAGCAACTTCCATACCAAGGAAATATTTGAGAGTGCCAAGGTCTTTGAGTTCAAATTGAGCTGCTAGAAATTTCTTCAAGGTGTTCAATTCCTCAATATCATCACCTGTAAGAATTATATCATCTACATATACAATAAGAATAGCAATTTTACCATCCTTAGAGTGTTTGTGGAAGAGAGTATGATCAGTCTGTGCTTGAATGAAGCCTCTTCTTTTGACTGCTTGTGTGAATTTGTCGAACCATTCTCTGGGAGACTGTTTTAATCCATATAGAGACTTTTTTAGTTTACACACTGATCTATTTCCCTTTTCAAAACCAGGTGAAGGATCCATATAGACTTCTTCATGTAAGTCACCATTTAGGAATGCATTCTTCACATCTAACTGTTGCAGAGGCCAATCTAGATTGGCAGCAAGAGATAAGAGAACTCGGATGGTATTGACTTTAGCAACCGGAGCAAAAGTCTCATGATAATCTATCCCATGAGTCTGAGTGAAACCCTTTGCAACCAATCTTGCCTTGTATCTGTTGATGCTATTATCTGCATTGAATTTTATTGTAAACACCCATTTGCATCCTACTGCCTTTTTTCCTTTGGGTAGGGTCACTATCTCCCAAGTTCCATTTCTTTCTAAAGCATTCATTTCTTCAAAGACAGCATCCCTCCATTTTTTATCATTGAGAGCCTCATGTATATTTCTCGGTATCTTTGTACTATCCAACATAGTATTGAAAGCACGAAACCCTGGGGACAACTTTCCATATGAAATATGATTAGAAATAGGATGAGTAGTACAAGATCGAGTACCTTTTCTGAGAGCAATGGGCAAGTGTAGATCATTTTCACCATGACACTCAAGTATTGGGGTGCTGGAACTAGAACATGGTTCAGAATCCTGGCAGTGTAGAGGCTCTGGGTTATTCACACTTTGAGGAGGCTTTCGCCTGCTATAAACTTGTCCCCATTTTGAGGAGGCTCCTGATGGTGAGGATTCTGTAGCTCCCCCTGTTTCCAAAAGTAGAGGTAATACTGTGGCATTAATAGGTTCCCATGACTGATCTTCATCTACTCCTATAGACTCCCCCTGAAGAGAAGTCGAGGGGAAGAAAGGGTCATTCTCAGAAAAAGTGACATCCATAGAGACAAAGACCTTACGAAGAGGGTGAATAACACTTATAGCCACGTTGAGTAGGAGAATAACCAATAAAGACACACTGGAGAGACTTAGGATCAAGCTTAGACCGTTGATGGGAGGGAATATGGACAAATACAACACAACCAAATAACTTGAGAGGTAAGGAGGAGACACCTCGGAAGGAAGGGGAAGATACGAACAAGACTAGAAAGAGGAGACTGAAATTTCAGAATGCGAGATGGCATTCGATTTATCAGATACGAGGCAGTGAGAACTGCCTCTCCCCAAAGATATTTAGGAACACTCGTGGTAAACATAAGAGCCCGAGCAACTTCAAGGAGATGTCGGTTTTTTCTTTCCGCAACTCCGTTTTGTTGGGGGGTGTCAGGACACGAGCTTTGGTGAAGGATGCCATGTTGGGAAAGATATTCTCCAAGAATAGAGTTGAAATACTCTTTGCCATTATCTGTACGAAGAATTTGTATAGCAACTTGGAATTGGGTTTGAACCATGGCATGAAATTTTTTAAACACGGATGCAGCATCGGACTTATCCTTTAGAAGATACACCTAACAAACTCGAGAATGGTCATCAATGAAGGTAATGAACCATCGAGTACCTGAAATATTTTTAACACGGGCTGGACCCCATATGTCGCTATGAATTAAGGAAAATGGGGAAGAGTCATGGTGAACTTTAGAAGGATAATGAGCACGAGTATGCTTGGCAAGTTGACAAATATCAAGAGAAAACAAACTTGGACTTTTATTAATAAATAAGTTTGGCAACAACTTCTGAAGATAAATAAAATTTGGATGGCCTAGCCTACGATGCCACAGCATAACATCATTACATGAATCAAAAGGAAACATAGAGTTTTTTTCTACGAAAACAGCTTCATGAGTCACATCCTCCTCAAAGTAGTAAAGTCCACCATCCTCTCTAGCACTGCCAATCATCCTCTCCGAGTCCTGTTCCTGAAAAACACAACCATGTGGAAAGAATTTAGCAAAGCAATGCAACTCAGAGGTGAGCTTGCTAATGGAAATGAGATTACAAGTCAGAGAAGGAACATAAAGAACTGATGTCAAAGTAATCAGCTCAGAAAGTTTAATGGTTCCGTGTCCCGCAATCTGGGAAAAACTGCCATCGGCGATCTTGACCCGAGAAGGTTCAGAATATGGAGTGTATGAACAAAACAAGCCAAGATTACCTGTCATATGATCAGAGGCTCCAGAATCAAGGATCCAATGATTTTGACTATCAACATGGAAAGTTGTACCTTGCTGGACCACATGACTAGTGGCCTTAGGAGGTTGCTCGTGGTAATAAAAAGAGTGTTTTAAGGAAGCCATGAATAAAAAGAGAAGGGTTGACCGTTGATGAAAAATCAAGTTTTGTAAACTTTTGATCTGACCTCTGGAACAGGAAGGGGAGAAGCCGGCGAGAAGGTCTGTGCAAGTCGCGACGGAAAAAAAACGTCTGGAAGGCGGCGCGTGGTGGCGCGTGCAGCGGCTGACGGCGATGGGTCCAGCGGCGGTCGACTCGTCGGATCCTTCTGAGTCGAATGGTCACCTCACTTTTTTGATCGGAGGTCAGTAAACTAGGTTTCTGTGTTGGACAGATTCAAGGCGGTGTTTAGGAGGTGTTTGACGGTGATGGAAGTGTTTGGATGGTTATTTCAGATTTGAATTAGGGTAGGAACGAACCCGCTCTGATACCATATTGAAAAGAAGTTTTTGTATATTGATATTGAATAAATTACATGAGTGAGTATTTATACAAGAAAGAATCGCTAAGAATGACTAAGCGATGACTAATCAATCCTATCACAATCCTAATCACAATCAATTCTAATCAATCACAATTAATCCTAATCAATCATAATCAATCCTAATCAACCATAATCAATCCTAATTAATAGGAAATAAAAACGGAAACATGTTTGAATTCTAATTTTCTACATAGATGCACAACTCTACAAAGTTCACAAACACAAAAAATAGATACAAAAGATTGTCTGATTGGGTCCAGTCCATGGTAGTTAAAATCCTGATTTAATTCTGCGATTTTACGATTTTTTTTAATCATAACGATTTCATCAAAATTCCAAACGCTTTTACGCTTTTGCGATTTTTTACGGTTTTTTTTACGTTAGGATTTTACGATTTACGATTTTTTATCCTCCTTCCGATTTTAGGTAGAATCCCGATTTTAACTACCATGGTCCAGTCCTCAAACCAACAATTGAACAGACTCTATCAAGAAAGACCAATAAGGTTTTTGTCTTAAAAGAAGCAGGGTAGTATGGAAGTTCTTACTTGATAAAAATGAGTGGGAGAAGGGGGTGCAGCTTGAAAAAAAAAAAAACTTGGAAAAGGACCTTAAAGTAATCAAATCTGATCATTTAGTATAAATAAAACGGAGATGACCAAACATGTATGAACAAGAACAACTCAACTTCCTGATAAATCCTCCTCCAATATAAAAAAATGCAGATGATTTCTAAACCAAAAGACCGTAAAGAAACACCTAAACATGTTGAATACCTATTCAGAATGCCAACCAACTATATACGTGAACTAGAAAGGATAGTACCATCCAAATTATTATCAGGTAAATTGCTGCTAACAATGACTTCAAAATTGAAACTTTCTTATGAATATGAAATGTGTACAATTTGAAAAGCTCCATACATTCTCAGATAAATTAAAAAATAGTAGAAATTAAAATTCAGGGAATTTCAAAGTTGAAACATTGACACTCTCTCTCAGTACTAGTTATCAACCCAGTAGAAGACCCTCCTATCTCTTCCATATATTAAACTCAAGATGTAAACCACAATGGTACACAAAAGGAAGGATTCAATCCATGTGTGCCGTCCCATAGCTACATATTTTTTTCAGGAAGTCTCTTCAAAATTTCTATTAAAAGAAAGAAAAACTGAGACAGACTGCTGAACTTTTAACTTTTAATTATTCCAAAAAGAATAAAAATCAGAGACACTAAATGCACAAGAAAATGTAACATAAATTCACCTGAAGATTTCTGCTAGATACAGAAAGAGCACCCCCAGCCACCAAAAGTGATTGCACTGCACTACTAAGCTGCTCCTCCTGCTTGCTAGCATCCTCCTTTGCCAGTCTGGAACGTATAGACATATTCTCCATCATCATTTTCTTTGATTCCAATTTATGACGCATCTCCTCAAGTTCATTCAACCGACCCAATGATTCAGTATGGACCTGCTCATAAAATCATTGCCCCCTGTCAACCAAACCCAATAATCGGGGCCAAAAAGCATCCTAAGATGAAAACAAAAACAAAAAAGCTTAACAAAACTGACAAGACTGAACTGGTGTGCTAAAATAAAACAGAGTTGTTATTTGGAAAACAAGTGCATTTCCCTTTGTTTGGATATTATGCATCTCATCTTGGGCACTTTAATCAGTTAAGTTTCACGATACACAATAGAAAAGAGTCTAATCACATTGCAATGTTTCTATACCTACTCAGACCAACTCTGTTAAAATATAAAACACAATGATCAATGTGAGGTCAGAGAAAATTCTTAATCTTAAATCCTCTCCTAACAGGTAAATATGCCTCCTAACATAATCAATGCTAAATAGTTCTTTCTCCTTATTTTGATATAAGAGGAAATATTTAAAGGACAGAAGAAGGTGAAAAATCATAGATAAGATGAGTTCATAATATAGCCAAAGGAAAAGGAAAAGGAAAAGGAAAAAAACAGAAACTGAAAAATAGACACATCAGCTTAATGGGGCTCACCTGTCCCTTTCCATAGACCTTACCGCACACAATGCCAAAAGGTAAAATCTAAAAGCATAAATTTATCCACAAGATCAAGTGTATCGTTGATCCATGTTTAGATTGGCCTGTTGACAGTCTAACACAACCCTTCTCTTTTGTCTGGGTTTGGGAATGGCTATGTAAAGTTTGGCAAACAAGCACAACCTTGGCAGAGTTAATCACCCACGAGACCATAAAGAAAAATAATTGGGTAGTTATGTGAAGGGAGAAAAATGATGACCGAAATGGAACTAAAGTGTAGAAGATTAACCAGCAATATCAGGGAGCCAATTAGCTTCTATTTTAGTAGATTATTATACTCTTGTTTATTAATAATTTTGATCAATGGAATGTCGTCCCATTAATTATAAATTATAATTAATAAAAGAGAAATGTAGCCAACGGGGGTTGATTTTTTGTAATGATTGAAGCACATTGCTTGCAAGCACAAAAAAACAACAACTATAAATCCTCGTTGAGGTATGTAGCATGCCTTGGCCTTGTAATGGGTTAGCCTCCTCTCCTTTTTCATTTTTTTATCCCAAAAATAAAAAGAGAAATGAGAGATCATCCAGTCCAACCAGAATACACCTCAACCCCACTAGATAGTGATTGACTTTGAAGTCTCTCAGCAACCAACTTCAAATACCATTAAAAAGAAAAACACTAGTTGTACCTATGGATCTGCTTATAAGGAGAACCCTAAATGGAAGATGAGTCACAAAGGAGTGATAAATTGGAAAATAAATAGTTTGATTCTAATCTTATGATTAACGCAATCACATTTAACACCACAAATTTGTCTCTCTTCCCAAAATCCAATTCCTGTAGCCAATAATTTTATTGAATCAAATATAGAAGGTAGTTTAATTCCCCAAACGAGTTTATATTCTCTACGAGACCAAAAGGGCTTTTTCCCTCTTGCTTTCAAATTTTAACTTCTTTTTCATTTACAGTTAATTCATAAACAGCACAAATACAATTTCCGAATTCCGAAAAACCAAGGGTAACTTAGACCAGGTTTTGCGTTTAGCAATCGCTAAAACCCTACCTGGATGAGTGTCTCGAGCTTCTGCTGAAGGCTTCGCTTCTTCTCCTTAGCTTCGTTGAGTGCAGAAGAAAGGCTCGCCAACGTCGCAAGATCGTGCTCAAAGTCCTCCCACTCAATCACTTTCACATCGTCTGGATCATTCGTCGTCGTCTTCCGCAATGAGAGATTTTGGTTTGGTTCCATGAGGGATCGACCTCATCATCGTCCTGGAGTGGTTAATCACGGTCTGAAGCTCATCGACCCCTCTTCTTATGTTCCTAATTTTCTCGGGAAAATGGTCTGATTTTCTCGGCAAAAGAAGAAAATGTGCGCCTTCGAGGATCTTGCAAGAGTTAGGTTTTCTGTTGGAGTAACCGCATATTATTTGGACACGTGCAACGCGTGCATGATACTTTTACCCTCCAAAATCTGCTTCGAAGTTTTTGGTATGTTAGAAAACATAAAGGAGATAGAGTGAAAATATTTATTTTAATTTTAATTTTTAAAAAAGGTCGAGGATAAAAAAACAATTGAAAAATTACTAGGCAATAAATTTGAAGACATTTTTTTGTCCATACTTACACCACTCAAGCAAAAATACCAATCATTACCACCTACCAAATAAAAAATACCAATCATTTCTTCCCGCAATATCGATACGTTAATTTTAAAAAATATTATTTTTTGACAAGTTGGGACACGTTTTGATATTAGATAATGAGGAAGGTTAGAGTTAAAATTTTTTTTTTACAACCTCTTACAACCATATCTTAACACCATTGATTTCCGTCAATCAACGATTATCATTTATTATGAATTAATAATTAATTAATGAGTTTAATTAGTGAAAATCATAACCGTTGATTGGCAAAAATCAACGGTGTTAAAATATGATAGTAAGAGGTTATTAAAAAAAAAAAAAAATATCCAATGAGTGCAGCTCAGTTGGTAACTTGGCGCTGAGTTAGTGGGGGTTGGACATGTGTTCGATTCCCGCTGAATGCATTCTTGGGGAAGGGGCTGAACCTTTAGCCATCACTGTTCCCCCGCACTCCGGATTAGTCTCATAGCCAGCTCAAAGAGTCGAAGCTCGTGGGGATACCGGAGGGAGCCAACTCGTCTCAAAGAGATAATTAGGGTTGGGTAACTCCAAAAAAAAAAAAAGAGGTTATTAAAAAAAAAAGTTATAAATATAACTTACGTCGTAAATAATATTTTTAATATATATAATATAATATATATTTACTACATATAACAGCCCATAATAAGTCATATAACCAATCAAATATTCAAATTTCATAACATAAATATAAACAAAAAAAAAGTTCATACCTTTTTAATTTTTTATGTAAAATTTTATAATAGAAAAAAATTAATTTATAAATTATTTTTTTTAGTTAGTTAATAAAATAAAATTAAGATCTAATAAAAACGTGTCGAAGCAATGACCGCGTGTCGAAAAAACGTGCCAGAGCATTGATCGCGTGACCCAAAATATTGACCGGATGTCGGAGCATATCCGTGTCGGACACGTGTCCGACACGCACATTTTGAAAAACAAAGCGTGTCCGTGCTTTGTAGGTAGCCATATTGGTTCTGTCTCTCTCTCTCTTTTCTTTTTCTTTTCTCAGCACTTCTTTTTTTAAAAAAAAATCTTTGTTTTATGCTGTCTTCATTAAATTCAGCAGTAAAATTGTTGTATATATCAACCACAAACAATAAATAGAATAAATTTTTTTGTTCTGACCTAACTATTTGTTTTGCGCTAGCTTGTTGCAATGATAAGGAGAATGCTAATATATATATATATATATATATATATATATATATATATATATATATGGTAAAATCATTTTTGCAGTCGCTTTACGTACAGCAACGACAGGCCAGCAAGCACAGACACAACATTTTTTCAAAAAAATGCGTGTCACACACCGACACGCTCCCACACGTTCAGACACGCGATCAACGCTCCTACACGCTTTTTCGACACACAGTCAACTTTTTTCGACACACAGTCAACGTCCCAACACGTTTCCGACACTTTCTTTTTTGGTTCTAAATTTTATTTTATTAACTAAATATAAAAAAATAATTGATAAATCAATTTTTTCTGTTATGAAATTTGACATGAAAAATGAATAAGGTACGAAAAATTATTTTGGTTTATATTTATATTATGAAATTTGAATATTTGATTGATTATATGACTTATTATGAGTTGTTATATAAATTAAGTTAAGGAAAAAGTGTATATCATTTTAAAGGATGTAAAGTTGTGTCATTTTAAGTGAGAGAAAGAGATAGATAAAGGAGGAGAGAGAGTGGACAAAAAATATAAAGGTGTGGGTCTCACCTCTTTGGGAGAGTAAAAGGATATAAGTTGTGTCATTTAAAAGGACAAACACTTTTTCCATAAATTAAATATAAATTATATTATATATTAAAAATATTATTTAATATCAAAATGTGTCCCAACGTGTCGAAATATGACATTTTTAAGAATTAATGTGTCGGCGTGTTGTGTCCCTTGTAGGGGTGTTCGCGGTCTGGATTGGATCGGTTTTGGAAGCAAAAATCATCCGATCCAATCCATTCGGTTTGATCATGTAATTATCCATTCGATTTGAATTTTTTTTCAAATTCGATCCGATCCAATCCAATTTTTTTCGGTTTGGATTGGATCGATTTTCGGTTTTTTGAAAATCCTAAAATTTATTTCATGATTATTATGCAAATAACATCTTTTGTATATATTGACTTTGTAATTTTATTTTTTTTAAATATAAAAGCATCATTAAACGATAATATAGTTTTTTTTTTGCAATGAGATATGAAGCTCTACACAAATTAAATTTTGTTAATAAGATGTGACTAGACTTTTTCTTGGGTTTAGTTGATGGGTTAACGAGTCTTTGGTTTAGAAATTTTTGGGCTATGATTAGGAAAAAAATCTAAGTATGTAGAGGAAAATTAATATATTGGATCGGTTTGGATTGGATCGGTTTTCATTGACCAATCCGAAAACCGATCAAATCCAATTAAAATTTGCGATTTTTTTTTCGGTTTTCAATTTTTCGGTTTTTCAGTTCGGTTATTGCGTTTTGAATCGGTTTGGATCGGTTGATGAACACCCCTAGTCCCCTGTCCCGTGTTAGTGTCGGTGCATCATAAACGACAGGTGTATGGTTATGATTTCCCATGTTTAATGCTTTCATCCTTTGTATGGTTATGATTCTCCACATTTAATGCTTTCAAGTATATATATGGCAAATATTTAATTGCTGCACGTACAGCAGCGGCATAAACGTAAACTCACACATATATATATATATATATATATATATATATATATTCTAATAATTATATGTAATTTGAAGGGATTGAAAATTTGTTAAACAGGTTGTGTAGTTGGGGTTAAAAAATCTCTAATTTAATTCCTAGACAAACCAATTTAGGTTAATGATAAAAAAATATATATATATATCACAAAGGGAATTAGTCCTATTTAGATATATGATGTATAAAATGTAATGTTTTAAAATCCCGCCCCACTTTCGGGTTGATCCGAGTCAACCCTGACCCCTCCCCTCTAAGGGTTGGGGTCACAAGTTGGACCCTATATGCATATCGACCCCTCCGACCCCCAAAACCCGACCGGGTTTCAGTGACTCTCGGGTTAGAGGGGTCAAAGAGGGACATTGCATGTTTTTTTTTTTAAAAAAAAATTCCATGAAACAACATTGTTTTATTAAAAAAATAAATAAAAATGCTTGCAAACCTAAATCTAATTGTTCTCTTCTCTCGTAGTGACCTAAATGTTTTCAATCTTCACCTCACTGTCGTGAATCTTCTAGAAAATGTAAGAATTTTACCCCTTCAAACGAAATCCTTACGAGTTGTCGATGGAAAACAAAAATTCATTCTTACTTCCTTTAAATTTTTCTTTGTCAGAGACATTCTCAAAAGAGGCAGAACCGAGTCAGTGTAGTGACCCCATTAGAATATGAGTTTTGTACTTTGATATCTTGATACTTTAATTAGGTTGTATAATATTGATTTGTGGTTATAATTAGTGAATTATGTTAAGTATATTTTGAATATTTGATGATTGATGATTTGATTTTTAATATTTTCATATAGGATATATCTATTTATATTTTTTTAATATATAAAATCGGGTCTGCGTAGTGACCCCTGACCCCCCGGTTGAACCCGCGACCCCGTGACCTCAACTGGGTCGATGACCGGGCTGAGTTTTTAAACACTGATAAAATGTCTAGGATTCCTATACCAGAATTTTTTAGATTCCTAGATTTTATATATTATATTTAAGGCGAAATCTTTTCTTATATTACAGGCAATTTGTACTCTCATGTCATAGAAATATGCTTATACTAGATTCCACAATTTTCTTGGAAACAAAAAAGAAAAATAAAACTTAAAAAAAAAAATGATTGTGAGACAACAGGAGATGATTTGTCTCCAAATACAGGAGAAAATCCTCTCCCTATATTTAAACTAATAACTAACTTTATGTTCATGTTTGAATCAATATTATTCGTCATTATATTCTATATTTAAATTCATTAACATACATTCAATCCAATATTTAATCTATTTGTGTAAGCTTTTTGAGGCTTTAAATGTCCATTTAAGTCTATTAGAACTTCTGAATTGTTTTGTACATTTTTTTTATGCATTTTTACTGAAAGGACAAAATTTATCCTTTTTTCTTAACGTTTGTTTTGAGAGTTTCCAAATCTTAAACAAATATGAGAATTTTGTGTGTAACTTTTTTTTTTTGGTAAACAATTTTGTGTATAATTTAATGGTTATCTTTTTTTTTGGAAATACAATGAAAACTAAAGCAACATCAAAAAAAGCCCTATACTGGGCACAATCTTGGGAGACTAACTCCCCTCAAGTCATTACGAAGCAATTCCAAACAAGCCGTTGGAGGGAAATCCAGCACAATCAGCTGTCCATCCTGATGAGGTGCATGAGTAGCAAGCCAATCAGCAACAAAATTGCCTTCTCTATAAGTATGACTAAGCTGAATAATCCAGTCTCTTTGAAGCATGCTACGAGCTCGGATGATTAAAGCAGAAAGAGGATGACTTACGTCACACCCTTTTCTTATAAATTCCAAAGCCACCTTGGAGTCACCCTCCACAAAGACTCCTAAATCCCTTATGCCAAGTCAGATCCATACCTGTCAAGAACCCCCAAATTTCCGCTGAAGTAGAAGTACCACTCCCAAGGAATTTTGTAAAACCAGTTAACCAGTTCCCAGCAGCATCCCTTATGACTCCACCACATGCAGTCTTTTGCCCACTGTCTATGCTGG